TTCACAAATACAAATATGGTTTACAATCAAAGTAAATGGAAGTAACACATTTGATGCTTCCGGAGCGCTTTTCTGAATGTACCTTCCAAATAAAAAAAGGAAAGCCAGGAATGTACTCGACAAACTATAAAAGAATAGCAAAATCACACAAATAATGGCTGCTTTTTAAATTTTCAATCTGGACCACACTTCACTAAGAACGATAAGAGTCAATGTCGAAGCAGTCTTAATACACAAACAGCTATATAATCAAATAACTGGGCTTGAACCCCCAAGCTATAATCAACTAAGGAATTGAATGCCCATGCTGAAATGTCTCGCCTGCTCTTCTGATTATAATTGAATTTCACGCTGAAAGTGTTCAAATGAAGGTCTTATTACCTGTATTCCATAATCTTAACATTACCAATGATCCATACACGTGACGTCCGGGTTAGATAAACGCTCTTAGATTACATCCCAACTCCTTTGTTCTAATAAGGGTGATCCGAGTCGGATCACCCCTACCAGATCACCCTACCTTGAGTTTCTGTAATAGTTATACACCGAGGGATAGGTGTGTCTGGATAAGAAATCACGTCGGCCGGAGGCCGGAGGGGTTTCTTATCCAGACACGCCGTATCCCGAGGTGTATAACTAACTTACACCCCATTCTAAACCCTATATTTGTTAACATTGATTATCCAACCATTCAAATGCATTGATCTTTTAAATAAAAGTCAGGTCCAACCCGCGGAACCCCCAACCCCGGATCGGCCACTGGGTAACCGGGGGAGGGGAGTCCAGCAGTTAGAATCCTCATTTTTTTAAAAGATCAATGCTTTAGAATAGAGACATATGACTGGGATAAAAAAAAATTTACCTTCAAGCAAAAGAGTATTTAAAGGATTATTTTTGTATTCCATATAGATGCTTATTGGAATTTCCTAAAATGTGTTTTTTTTTAATATCATGAAACAATTTGAAGTGATCACTATTAGTAATTTCTTATGTTCATGCTATTTAAAAATTATCAATTTCTATTGTTACGAATAACAATGGACTTTGTTTGCGGGATGTAGAAGCAGGAGTTTCCAGAAACCCCGCTCGTCACACCCTGTGGTAAAAATCCATTGCTATTCGTAACAATAGATCTATTGAATTTACACTTGTTTCAGAAAAAGAAACTATGAAGTATAACAATAGAACTGGGGTGTAATTCTTTTGTTCTGTAAAATTTTGGCGGGAATGTTGGATACACAATAAAACTTAGGATACAAACTCACTGTTAATTTTACCAGGAACATATATATTGACATATATAGATATACTGTTCCCAGATTTTACATATTTAAACATTGTATCCGGGGCTCATAAAGGGTATATACTATATAGTAATATATAAAGTATATCATAATTATTGTATGGCAATCTGAACTAGATGTTGTGAAGCGTAAATGTTTTTATTTTTATATAGTCTAAAAGAGCTGGGATGTAAACTAGTTATCCTAATCAGACTTGGTGTGTCAGTGTAAGATCACCCTCTGGCCGGAGCGTCCTCATGAGATACCTATTACAGAACATGTAAACTTTTTATAATCCGGTAATCAAGTATATCATATATAATTGACCTATTACTTTACAGCCGATTGCATTGGGTGTGTAGGTAAAGGTAATATCTTTGGTTAGCTTGCTTGCTAGCTGAACCGTGAAGTCATTATTAGGTTAGGTAAACTACCCTCCTTTAAGAGTAGACTAGTCCGACAGATAACCAATCTATCTGTCTGTAGGACTAGGCTACTTCGAAAGGAGGGTAGTATACCTTACCTAATAATGACTTCACGGTTCAGCTAGCACAAAATATAGTTGACCTATTGTTTATGGTATCTGAAGAGGACAAAACTACTGAAACTTAACATGGACCAATGAACCATGAAATGAGGTATAATAGGACAGATGATCTATTATGAATTTATGAAACCTGCCAGACAGACATGTACACCTTGCAATCATTCCATACACCTAATATAATTGACCTACTGCTTATAGCATCTAAGAAACACACTAAAACAGGAAAACTTAACATTGACCAATGGACAACAAAACTGAAGTCAAGGTCAGATGAAACCTGCCAGTCTGACATGTACAACTTACAATCATTCCATACACCACATACAGTTGATGCACTGCTTATAGTATTTGAGAATGGACCTTATCACGGAACTTTAACCTTGATCACTGATCCATGAAATTAAGTCAAGGTCAGGTGAGCCCTGTCTGAAGGACATGTATACCTTGCAAGGAATCCATGTATTGTGGATTCATTATTATTTGTGGGATAAACGTGAACAATGAATTTAAATGTTCAACAAAGTATAAATTCTTTTTATATGCTGGTATACAGACTTCCGCAAAACCACGAAATCATATAGCCATGAAAATAAAAATTTCCTTCAATCCACAAAAATTGGCACCAAAGAACATAAATGAATCCACAGTACCAAAATTAATATAGTTATCCTATTACTCATAATAAATGAGAAATTCACATGACAAAAAAAGCATACTTTTTTTTTAGCAGTAGCTGAACAATGAAAATGAAGTCCAGGACAATGTTATATAGATACAATGGATAAGCGTGGATTCTTGAAAAAGAAACCATGAGCCCGGAGGGCGAATGGTTTGTTTTTCATGAATCTACGCTTATCCATTGCATCTATAACTTAAACTATTGTGTTAATTTCTTTTCAAAATTAAAGCCTTTTCTTAATTAGAAGGTATTGTAAGTGAGTTTAAATAACCATGTTATCGTGTCCAACGATGCATTGATAAATCTCAGATCACAATTAATTGGTCAACAAAATACAAATATAACACTTCTACCTTTAAAGATCTTTATATTACCAGGCATATGAATATTATCTGTTTATACAAAATAAGACATATTCGAAATTATTTCTTATAAGATTGAGAATGGAAATGGGGAACGTGTTAAAGAGACAACAACCCGACCAAAAAGAATATATAAAGTATATATAATAAGTATGTTACCGAAATTGTTCTAGCACTCTAGGCACCATTTCCTTGCATAGGAATTTGCGAACAAACCTTTGTAAAATTATGTAGTAAAACAGATGAAATCATACTATATTTATAAAACAAAAATTGACAAATAGGATGTAATAATTTTTGTTTCAAACACGTGAAATAGCCAATAATAATAAAAAAAACGGTAAAACTCGCTTTTATTACAAAAATATCCACTATAAAATGCAAGGTTAGAAAAAAAAACAGGATAACTTAAGAATTGGAACAACAGAGAGAATACAGGGATTCGAACCTAAACCGACAAATCCCTATCTTTAACTCATTGATTTTAACCATGCTAACCTCGCGGCTACCAACTCATACTATACGACTGCCTATTGTGTCTATATAAAGGTGCAAGCCCTGTGTGTCCAATGAACCGATGTATATCAGATGTTCATTTATATATATAATATAGACATCTAAAGTGTAACCCATTGGTAGCCGAGAGGTTTCGTCGAAGAGTCGATGTCAGTCACACATAACAGATTTCTAAGAAGGGTTCGATTCCCAGTGAAGGCATATAAAAATTACAAAAATTAAAGGTAAGTTTTAAAATTAATTCCATTAGTGAACAGAAATCAGTAAATTAGCCAATTCATACTTAATGAAATTAGGCACACAAACGAAACAATTGAATATAATTTGGTGAGTCAATTTCAGCGGCAGATTTAGGAAGCGTTGATTCTAGAAAAAGAATCCACGGTAAATGAATAGGCTGACGTCACCACAATGGTTTAAGGACATATAACAGACAGAAACTTCATAACATAAGGCATCATCATTCAAGGTATTAAGCATCCAGGTCTACTACCCTCTGAAATATAGAGCTTAATATAAATAGTTTAAGCTGCTGCCACTACCCAATTGTAATCCTTATGTCTCACATTCTGTGATGAAATTCACAGGCAAGACAAAAACCAATATCTATGATTTAAAATATGCAAATTTAAATAAATAAGACATTTATGTCTTGATTTAGATAATGTTTATAGTTTCAAAGTAGGATATTTTACTAGTTTTCCCCAAATTTCCTCTTCATGTCAATTCTAAGGTCTATTTGCTTCTGAAACTAATTAGCCACAACCTTTGAATAAAGTAAAGAAGGTATGATAAGAGCCATCATTTGGCCCCTGAAATTTCAAAAATAGTAACCTTATTCTCAAGCCTTTCTAAATTATGTTAATTTTTTTGATAAATGCATAGTTTAATATAATTGTGATGTCACTATGACATCATAAACATGTCTAAATCTCAAATGGCCATTTCACACATGATTTTTGGTTATAAAAATAGATATGAGCAACAGCTTTACCCAAAAAAATATGTTACCCACATTAACATCTTTGTAAAATACATTTAGTAGCAACATATATGCTTTAAAGTAATGGTGTTGGTCATATCTAAATATCAATGACAAGACCTCAAAATGACTATTTTGGTATTTTTTGCTGTTTTGTGCAAAATATAAGACGTTCAAAGCCCCTATTGACAATATAAGACAAAATTCAAAAACAAATTTTTTTTTAAGCACACATTATCACAATTTGGCAAAAATGTTAAAATCTACACTAGAACTGTCATCATTAGTGCAAAATTATGACATTATAAAACATGAATATGATATAATGCATCCTTGCTTGTTGTATTTGTATTTTCAGATATTTTTTGATATTTTTTCACCAAATGTTTTATAAAAATAACTGAACAGAAAATATTATGGAATTTAGTGCCAATTCAAAACCTTTCTGAACCTTCTCCTTTATTCACAAAGATCTTATCTAATTCTAGCAAAAAAACAGTAAGAATACTTCTCCTTTAATTCATAGCACGACTAATTTATGAATTTAAAAACAGAAAGGGGAGATAATGTTGCAAATATGTGTTCAATTCAAGAGGAGATAATTAAACTGGATATAATTGTAAAACAGCAACACTTTTCACTATTTATTGAAATAACAAGAAAAAATGAATGGGTACCCATGTTTACTTGTCACTTCCTGAAATATATTGATTGAAAAATGTAATACAATACAGTTGCTTCAAAACAGAAGTTTTTGTTTTATTCATCAAAGTAATATTTTTTCATTCTAAGCTTCACATATTAAATCATTAAATTCTTAATTTTAAAAGTATAGTGACCTATATCTCTTAAAATCTTATTAGCATACATATTAATATAAAACTGGAGTCAAATATACCAGCTAATCATGCAATTTGATTGGTTAACTTCGCATGGTTTATAATCCATATACCCTGTGAACAAAAACGAAGATCAGAATAGTAATTAATGTTAAAATCAGGACTTTCCAGTTTAATAGAATTGTAATTTCTGGCTTTACAGGGGATATAGGCTCTTATTTCCTATTAGTGTCCTATTTCCCCTTTGCCTGGGGACTCAGAAGATGTAATACACTGACAGGGAATATTATTAGTTACATAGTTTGCTACTGACCTAATACGATATTCGCTCTCACCCAATATGAAATTTACTGACGCCATATATATCGTATTAGGTCACTATGTAACGAATTTATCTTACTGACTATCTTAACATGTGGCATTTAGACTAGTGGCCTATCAAAGTGATCAAGTCTTCAATACCTTTAGTATTAAGAACCTACTTCCATTGGTCTATACAAAAACAAATGCCAACAATAACAACTTGTCAGCTTTTAATGTGTTTTCTGCATCTATTTCAATCGTTCATCATCAATTTCTTCATCTATTATCCAGGCAAAGCATATCAGATTTTCTTCTGTTGTTTATTATAAAGAGACGTAACACCACTACTAACCGTGTATTAAAATAAACCACGCCTACTAACCCCATATGGATTATACACAGTCTCCACGCGGTGGCTTTTAACCAATCATATTCCTAGAAATGTATAGGAGGTAAGATAAGAGCCTATATCCACTGTGTACATTTGGAATAACATATAATGTAACTTTCTTTCAAGTTAATTTAGGAAAAATTTGTTGTATGTTAGTTTAATTGTCTATCAAACATCAAATAAAATATAAATAAGAGTCAATTATTTTTTTCACATAACAGTCAATTCTTATGTAAACTTGATTGTCTGAGTAGAGGATAACAAATATTAGTTATAAACCCATAATCTTAAGAGGTAGGCATTTTTTATCAACATGTATCATCTACATCTTGAGTAATAAGTGTTTTTTAATTCATAAAAAAAATCATACAAAAATATATTATTTATTTCATATGTACAGAACAAATAAACACTACACAGCTTGGTATTCTTTGAGCAGACAACCTGCAATGACTAGTTTTTGAATTTCACTCGTTCCCTCGTATATTTCTGTAATTCTAGCGTCTCTATAATATCTCTCAGCTGGCATACTTGACACATACCCCATACCTCCTAGGATCTGTATAGCCTACAATACATCAAAATAAAATCTGAATAACACTGGTGAAAATGAATTAACACATAGATTCCTTGAAAACCAAACATAAATACATGCATTGTCATACTAAACATAAACCCACTTGTAATTGAAAGTATTGGAATACAGGAAGTTGGTACCAGACAGATCAGATAAGTTCACACACATTACAACTCATCGTTGAGCTCCTGACTAAATATGAAGATATTCTGGTCAGTAATTATTTTAAAAAGTGGGACAAAATTTTAAGTTCATTCAACATATTCAAAAATTCCAAGTATCAGCAAACAGGAAATTGGTATCAGACAGATAAAAAAGTGCTCACATGTTGTACATCTCATTGCCGCCAAGTTGATGTCCAAAATGAAGTCACTCTGTTAAATCTTTTTTTCAAGAAAATGTGACAAGATGTTTTGTGGGGCAAACAGACAGAGTGGGGGTATAATATTTAAATATATAATCTACCTGATGACTACAGAATGTAGCAGCTTCTGATCCTGCCAACTTGGCCATAGCTGCCTCCTACAAAATCAAAATTATTACATAATTAAATATATATCATATTACAATATCAATAAAAAAACAGAGTTACAATGTCTCCTGTATTGAACATATTTTGTCTGTCAAGGGCAATAACTAAATAAAATTTAATTTTTTGGGTTCTTTAAAAACAGTTGATCACACTGATTTTTTAATTTGTCCGAGACATTGCGGATATAAACCTTTGATACAAGTTCAGTGTTCTAGCTACAAAGTTTGAACAGGGTGCAGCACCCGCCCTTTTTTATTGACGCCCGTGCCTTTTTTCTGCCGTTTCTTGGGCAACCCTGCCGTTTTTATCGCGAAATTTGCTTTATCTCGTATGAGTTTTGTTGAAATGTTCGTCACCATTTTTCTTCCTTGTTGACAATGCGTAACGCACCACCTATAACTAATTAGCATAATAATTTGCATAAAAAGTGTTTACCTGACTATCGATTGATTTCGTGATAAGAATTAAACTGAAAACTTAATTAAGTCCAAATAAATTTTAAATCATTATATTCACAATGCCGACTCGAGATAAACGCCTGCAAGATGAAACCAAAAAGAATGCTAGCCAAAATAAAACTTTGACATACTTCTTTACTATGTACTACTTGGGCCACAAACGGTTGTAAAACTTTACGGCTAGACAAAGTGAAGGAACACGAAATTTAGTTTAGAACATATAAATTCTGTCACAATAGAAATTGAAAAGGCAAATTCTGAAAAATGTAATGAAAACATGAAAACCGACTCACACAAAGCTATAGCCGATGCTTTGAAAGTATTAGACAATGTTGTAGCAAAGTTTTTTAAAGTCAAACAGAGAAGATTGTGCCAAAAGTATTGAATTTTATTACTCCATTTTAACTGAAACTTGATTTTACCATAGTGCCTGAGTTATATAGAGTATTTTGTTTGTAATGTTATGTACATATGTATTTTATGACGTATGCTAATAAATTATGAGGCTTAAATAATTGCCCTTTTTTCAATGACATTTACGCATAAAATTGCCCTTTTTCTGACTAGCACCCTGCCCTTTTCAAATCCTGGCTAGAACACTGAAGTTTGATAAAAATCTGGCAAGAATTGTACATGTGAGTGCGCTTACAATGCAATTTTCCATTTAATTAATATTTCCAAGGGGCATACCTCTTTTAAAAATAGTTGATTGGCACTGATTTTCGAACATGTCTGAGACATTGCTAAAAGAAACCTCAGATATAAGTTTGAAAAAAATCTGAACAGTATTAGACATGTGAGAGTGCTTACAATGCAAATTTCCATATAATTAATATTTCCAAGGGGCATAACTCTTTTAAAAATACTTAATTGGCACTGATTTTCGAACTTGTCTCAGACATTGCTAATAGAAACCTCTGATATAAGTTTGATAAAAATCTAACAAGAACTGGACATGTGAGAGTGCTTACAATGCAATTTTCCATATTATTAATATTTCCAAGGGGCATAACTCTTTTAAAAATACTTGATTGGCACTGATTTTCGAACTTGTCTGAGACATTGCTAATAGAAACCTAAGATATAAGTTTGATAAAAATCTGGCAAGAATTATTCATGTGAGTGCGCCAACAAGACCTGATAGATGCACAGACACACAGAGGGACAGCCGGTATTTCTATGTCCCTTGCAACACATCCCACAGGGGGACAGAAAGGAAGAAGATATCAAAGGGTCAATACAAATTATAAGTAGATGAAAAACCAACAATACCATGATCATGATGATAAATTGAATGTCAGACAGTTCACCAAAGCAACACTAAAAGCATGAAAGAGGTTTTTTTCTTATGATAATCAACCAATCTTCAATCTTTGAAATATGAGCAATTGTAATCTATTTAAAAAAGCTATTACCCTCCCATACATTTTCTCCTGGAATAGCCCTAAAAATTTGTCTTCAAATTGTTGTCATTGTCATTTGACTTTGAATTATATCTATTCTGAACCAACTGTACTTTTAATTTTTAAATCATATCATGGTACTTATACACTAAATCTGTAAAGAGATACCCTATAATAAGGTTAACATGGTTAAGAAGAAAAGTAATAATAACAGGATGTAGATGATTGATATTGTTATACAATCCTTAATGCATGCTTTTTGGTGTCATTTAATTTTAAACTGACACACTTACAATAGGACAATTTACAAGAGAAAATTAAAATATAGAACATGACCTAAATAATAAGTACACCACTACAGCCATCCAGGATATTGAAAAACACAGTTTCAAAGAAACTGTCAATTAATCTTCTTTGGATTATATCTGATTAAATGACTTACTGTAAATCAGAAATTATTGGAAATTTTTATCAATGCTAAAAATGCTACAGTATCAGGTTTGCAATAATAAAACATAATTTCAGTTGCGATTTTCCATCACAAAAACTTTGCAATGACATTAATTAGATATTGTATTTTTACCAGTAAACAGCAATTTGCAATAATAAATGCACACATTAAATTCTGAATTTACGGCAATTAAAAAAAAAACAATGGTAGCTGACCTTTGAAAATGGTTTACCAGCATCTTTCAGTAAAGCAGCTTTGTAATTAAGTAATCTGGCACTCTGTATTCTCATTTCCATGTCTGCCAATTTAGACTAAAAAGAAAGATAGGAAATATTAAAAACATTGACACTAGCAACATAAAGGTGCTTTACCAATAGTAGAAAACTGTTGAAAAATACTTTGTATTGAAAGTGTGTGTAACTATGTATGTACTTAAAAAAAATGTTAAAAATGCTCTCTTCCAAGTTATTTAACAATGAAAAAAAATTCTAATAGAAAGTCAGTTTATCTATGAATCAAAGATTTTACACCATCCAAATAATTTTTATAGTTAAGTTAAAGTATCTCAGAGATATAAAGAAAGAGAACTCTAACAGATAACTAACATGGATTTCTATTCAAGATGCAAACCTGTGCTAAATATTTAGATTTTTTCTTAAATTTGTCACTTACTGTCTGAACTAAATTTTCAATGAGCCAGTAACTGTCTGAAACTGTAGGATTTATGCCTCCAAGTTCCTTACAGCTTTCATGAAGAGAAACAACAGGTGTAACATGTAGAGCCGGATGTGCTAACTCTTCCAGAGCACCTGAGATCACCCCCTGATTTAGTGGAGTTTGTGTTGCTCAGTCTTTAGTTTTCTATGTTGTGTTTTGTAGATTGTTGTTTGTCTTTTGGTTGTTTTTTGTTTTTTGCTATGGCACAGTCAGTTTGTTTTCGACTTATGAGTTTGACTATCCCTTTGGTATCTTCCGTCTCTCTTTTTGAATGGATGGATTAAATAAAACAATCTAAAGACAAATTATCATTAACATGATATGCTTTGTTTATCGCTATTTTGTGCATTTTTCCTTTGATCTTTTACTGGTGATAATTTTTCATATCATGTTACTCACTTGAGATGGAAAATTATCGTCAGAAACTAAGGGACCATGTGACGTTATCAATGTAAACATCAACAAAGTCATAGGCAAAATAGTGATAAACAGATTATCAATGGTCTTTCAAACTTGAGGATGTTTCTCTGCCATATCTCATCTCAAGGTTGTCGCCCTTCGATGAGATTGTAGCTGAGAAACACCCTCTCGTTTGAAAAACCATCAATAATCTATGAATATATCCTTACCTGAACTGTTTGCATTTTTGAAATAGGTTGATTAAAGGCTTGTCTCTTCTGTGCATAGTCAATGGCGCATTCTAAAGAAGCCTACAAAAAAAAACATAAAACTTACATATAAGTAAATGATTTCATTGTAAATCAGATTTAGATGTACAGAATGTGTTTAAGAAAAACATATCATTGTACACTACTGGCTCACAAAGCTTATCACCAGCTTTTAAAAATAAATAAAAAGACAACATGGTCAACAAATCCTCCCAAAACAAATATCTGACAGAGAAGCAAAAATGAATAAAAGCCAGATTTTAGAGCATTAAGGTTGGGTACAGGGATAAGGTTAACAATATATATTTGTATTACAACCTGAATAAGGATGGTAAGAGGCTTCCAAAACAACTGAAGTTATCATCCAGAAACAATCTTTATATAGCTGAATGAGTTTTGCTCATCGTTGAAGGCACCTGTAGTTGCTTACACCCAGTTTGATTTGTGGTGTTTGGTGTCTCATTGTAAATCATACCCCATCTCCTTATTTTTAAATTGTTTCAAATTGAGACAAGACATAACTTATAAAAGGCAATTGCAACAGTACTGAAAATCAAGCTTCACATTCATTTCATGATTAGTAGTAATGTCCCAATGTAAACTTATTTTACATTCAGAAACCATCTGTTTAAGACAAACTGATTTAATGACAAAGCACAACTGCATGCATCCTTATTTTTCACTTGGAAGCCTTCAAAATTATAAGCCTTTCACAACTTATCATTTGAAAACCATTTCATCAAGACCACTTTTTTCAATTTTTCATGGATCTAACTCTAGAACAGTATGTTAGATAATAATGAAATCAGACAACTCTATAAAACTACAAATCCTAGCTATACAAAAAGAAGTAACATTTCCATGTGAAAACCATAAATTGACAATTAAAGAGGCATAACCCCTGAAGTTTATTTGATTTGAGTGCAAAACTACATTTCACATTTTTGTTTTATCTAAGTCTACTACTTACTTGAGCAATTCCTATACCCTGTGCTGCAATACCTATTCTTCCTGCATCTAATGTTTGCTGTAAATATTAATCAATCTATTAAATGTAAAATGTACAATTTTGTCATACATACAATCATTTTCTCCACCAAGATCACATATGTGAATAGTGAATTTTTTTTTTTTTACATGATTCTTCAAAATTAAACATTAAAGATTCTCGGAAATAATTTACTTTTAAAGGTATATTGCACTTGGCTTCACATAAAAAAATCACTACTTTTCCAACACGTAAGAAAGTTACTACTCACTAATGATACCAAGCTATAAGTGTTCTGTGAACAGGAGGTGATGAGAAAAAACATCATACAGAATGCTCTAATGAAGCTAGATTCCAAATTTCAGAAAGCCTTGATTTATAGTTCTTGAGAAAAATGCAACGAAAATTTAATAAATGGCCATTTTGTGTAAGAATAAATAAATATTGGGTTAATATAGGAAGTGCCAATATTGTTGTTCATATGAAACTTACCATTGCAATTTTGAATCCCATACCAGGCTCTCCTAACAAGAATTCTCGGGGTATTTTACAGTCTTCAAATATTAGATAGCATGTTGAGGTAGCTTTTATTCCTAATTTATCTTCTTTCACTCCAAGTGATAAACCCTCTGTAGGTTTAGGAATCAAAAAGGCACTAATGCCCTGAAGAAAAAAGCAGTTTATTAATTGATAATACAAATAATTCTAATCAGTAGTTGATAATCTATTAGTTCAGCATTGTGCAAGTGCAATGTTCTTCAGAGGAAATCTTAGAAAAAATTCCTTCTGACATAATGAAGTTGCCAGCTGGTATCAGTTATTTTTAACAAAATATTTTCCCATTTTTTTGGATTTCATGAAGCTTACAAAAGTTAATATAAAGTCGTGAAGAATTTCAAAAAAGATGCCATACTTTATTTTCATATAAAAAAACATTTTCATCTTTATTACATGTAATAAGATTTTAGCGATACTTTGACTAGTAAGTATAATTTTTAATCATTTTTTTTATATTTCAATTTAATATGTAAGTATTCTGTTCAGTTAAACTTACCTTGTGTTTTTTATTTTTATCTGTTGTAGCAAATACCTAAAAAATAAAAAAAATATAAAGGGCTTCTAACATCATAAAAATTACAAGTAAATAGATAATTTTATTTTATTCATTAAGTCAGTGAATGGAGTTCCATGAAAAATATTGATCTACATGATTGGTAGAGAGTTTTTTTTTAATTCAAACCTCAAATTCAGCATTAATAACCCAACCAGGTGAACCATACTAGATTCAAAGAGTCCATGTTGAATATTTTTTGTGTTGTTAGGTTTCTATCTCATTGTTGTCCAACCAATAACACCTATTATTCATAATTATGTCACAAAAGTTTTCATTTCAAAACATGCCTACAAAGAGAGCTTTCACATGTTTATCTTCTTACTTATAATATTCATCAAATAAATGATGAATACTTTTTACACAGATCTTAGCAGTTTTAAATATACATTGCTCATTGTTGAAGGCCGTATAGTGACCTATTGTTGTTAACTTCCAGTCATTTGGTTTCTGGTGGAGAGTTGTCTCATTGGCAATTACATCACATCTTATTTTTATATTTTCTATATGCATTTAAATCGATTCTTACCAGTTTGATAAATATTGATAAACCACAAGTTGATCAAGTTTATCTGGTATAATTCCCCCTACCTCATATCCATTAGGAATATTGCATCTGACATTTTCCATTAAACCATTACAGAAACAGATTCTACCAATTTATCAACTTGACTACAATATTTATCCATTCTCGATAATTAAATTTCAAATTCTAATTTTCCTTGATAACAAAACCCTGAAGTTGTTACTTAATTTGAAAAGATATCATGTCAATGTGCAGGAAATACATGAAAAACTATGAATAATCCAAATTAATTTACTTGAAAAGTGTGTCTGAAGTTTTCTGGTATTTGCCTAATTTATGATGTTGAACATGGAACATCAGGGTCTTTTCAAATAATCGCATGGTCTAGCAGGGTTAACAGAAAGTATTTCAAGATAATTCCATCTATAATTTTGTGCAAGTTATGAATTACTCATAATTTGAATGATACCTCAAACAGCATAAGCAGTTATTTTCAGATATCCAGAGAATTCTAAATGTGTAGCAATGTGGACACTGCATTAATGAATAGGCTTCACAATCTTGTCAAAAAGGTTCAACCAATTTTGAGAAATTAAATGAAGAATATGAATTAAATCATTGTAAAAATATATGGTTTAGTTGATTCCAAGTACTGCAAATTCATAAATTAATACCAAAATTGCGGTGGAATAGGTTTCGCAAAATTAAAAAGTAGCATCTAAATTTTGATAGCATTATTTCTATGCATCATTTTCTGAAATCTCAATTACAATTCTCACTTTCTGACCATTGCTCAATGATAGCAGAAATAATTACACAAAAAAATGTCCAGTATTTTGTCCTACTTTAAAGCTTGCACTATTTTCAATATTGAAATACAACATCTCAATTCTTCTTATACCTACCACTGAGGCTTCAGCTTCATATCCATTTGTAATCCAGGCTTTGGTTCCATTTAATACATAGTGATCTCCCTGTAATACTGCTGTAGTGGAAGCAGCCCCAGCATCACTGCCATTTCCTGAGAATAGAAAAATAGTTATCTCCCTTTACTTGTGTTACACAAAGGATGTAGTAATTATCAAAACAATTTAACATCTGAAATAAAGTACTGTGATCTAATTGCTAAGTAAATAAAGCTTCTCTTGTGACATTTACTGAAATACAATATAGTGATCCACATTAATACTACTCATGTGGAGCCTTGCCATTTACATTGTAACCAATAATTCACTAAACCACTAAAGTCATTTCCCATTATAATAATCAATACTATGGATTCGTGTATTTTTGTAGGTACCAATTTTCGAGAAAATATGTAATTTGTTAAAAATTTTAATTCATGGTTCACCTGTACACCAAAAATCACAAAAATTGGTATCGGCATTAATAATAATGAATCAACAGTAATACAATTTGTGTTGTAAAAACACTTCAAAAGACAGACAGCTATTTAATTATACACTGCTGCTCACATAATGTCAAAATATCACGTTCCAAAACAGTAAAGGTTTTTTCTTAAAGGAATAACCTGTGCTATAAAATCTTCCATACTAGCTATAGAATTCCCTTCCATTAATTTCTGTCTGACAATTTTTGTCTGACAATTTCTATCTGACAATTTCTGTCTTACATTTAAACAGAATTATACCAACAACAAAATCGACTTGTCTTTTTAATATGACATTACACTACCATATACATGTAACAGCTAATTACAAAATGCAACAGTGCAAGTCTTTTTGTTATTATTTTAACATTATTTCTTCCTACCTGGTTCACTTAAGGCAAAACATCCAACTTTATCACCATGGAGAAAGGGGGTCTGGAATAATTCTTTCTGCATTTGGTTTGCATTTTTCTTGATTGGTCCTAAATATAATGACTGAAAAAGGCAGTGTCAACTTAATTCATAACACAATAACACTCTATAAAGGTCAGTGAAGTTTATAGACTTAAAAATCCCATTTGAAAAATATATCTTTTCCTAGGTATATTGCATTTAAATGTTTCTTATGACTGGCTGAAGCAGATCTTTATATGCAGATTGTACAAATTGTGGTTGAAAAAATATAATCTATACATTATTGAAGACTGTACACCGACTTCAAGATGTCCTTTTGTTTATTTGTGTTCGTTCCTGTCTCAATGACCAATACCAAATATATCCATTTATTCATACCCTTAAAAAAAATCCTGAAGGACTTAAAATTTCTTAGACAACAGCCAATATATTACCAATAAACTGTCCATACATCATGTAAGAAAGAGATAGTTGGGAATTATGCTTACATTATTTACACTAACTATACAGCCTGTTGATGCACAACCTCTACTGATTTCCTCTAAAGCTATAGCATAGGCAAGATAATCTAAACCAGTTCCTCCTTCTGACTCAGGTATATCTACACACATAATTCCTAATTCTCCTAACTTCTTTATCTGAAAAATAAACAATTATCTATATTTCTTCCTTTGGAAAGATCTACTACACATACACTAACAAGATCTCTATGTTTTCCTCTCTGAAAGTAACACATTATAATTGTATCTATCATCTACATGTAACACAGGAATATCTGCATACTTAAAAAAAGTGTGTATTATACGCGACAGAACAGGGTATATTATATACAGTTCACACATTGTGATTCAATTGAAAATCTTACTTGTGTTGAGAGTAAATCATTAACAGAAAGGTTCTCATCCAAGTTTTAATGACTGAAAATATTTATTATTAGGCAGTAATAAGCTTATATAGGATATCTTGAAATTAAACAACAGAAATGGAGCTCTTTATTAGAGAAGGTAAAAAAGGCCAAATTGGTATATTTAAATTGTTTACATCTGTTTCTATGGGCTTTAAAAGTTTAATGAAGATGTAAAATTTAGGATTTTATGCATCATACAATGTATACAGGTTTTTTTACTTAAATTATAGTATGGAGCTTCGAGATATTTGTAAACTTTTAAATTATAGACAAATTTTCATAAAACAGTCGATTGTGGACGGTGCAAATACATGTGGATCTTTTTTGTGCATAAGTATAAATTCCGCCGGAAAAAAAACCACAGAAAGATAATACATTGATCTTTTTAAAGCATAAATTTGCATCTCTGCCCACGACAGTTTTTGGGAAAAAATCCTAAAAATGGGCAATAACTTCACCAAAAGAGAAAGTCAAGTACACCTTTTTATGTTCGGGCGTATTTGAGTTAACAATTCTGTCTAGAAAACATATAAAGCAAAAATATTTGATACATCATCTCGCTTCAGATTCTATTATTTATCTATATATTTAGGCTACAGGTTGATTAAATAAATATAATAAAAAATTCAAAGTACTAAAAAATGAAATATATGGGTCAAGTGAAATATGTTTCTAATGAGTCATAACAACAGAGTAGGTGTGTTCGAATATCAAATTTTTACTAAAAGTACTTGACGACAGACTAACAAGTGGATCTTATTTTAAACATGCATAACTTCAAAAAAACTTCATTTTTAGTGTGTGTGTTATCTAGGGTTATTATGTGAACATATATTTGTTCCGCATAATACTTGTTCCGCCTGGAACAAAACTATGGATAATAAAAGTTCTTGGGAACAAACATTACATAATACTATTTCCACCTTCATAAGATATTTTCCTGGAACTAAAACGTCATATGGTTTCATAATAATTGTTCCTTTAAAGAAAGAGTGTCATTTGATTTTTTACACCTGATTACATCTTAATTAATGTTCACCTCACATGACATTTACCTGTACATGTAGTACATACAAAGAATGGAGTCTGAGGAATACAACAAAAATTGTACATATTTAAATGATGGCTCTTATTCTAAACAAGGTAAGAATATATATTTTTAATATTTTATTACTGCATGCTCCAGCTCCACTGTGACTTACTTAACTAAATGGTCCGTTAGTCTGTACCAATGAAGAAAGTTTAGCTTATACTTTAGTCAAGCATGAAGTTAGCCACAAATTTCAGATGAAAATGCCAGTTCTTTATTATTGGAAATTTACTTCCATACATTTGTAGCTAGAAATAATTTTGGATATTGTAGTATATATTCCAAGAACTTTGATCATATAATAAATATTTCTAGAACTAATAACCATGATAACTATTCCTGAAACATTTATAATATAGCCAATATTCCAATATGCCTGGAACTTTTATAATATAACAAATATTCCTAGAACTTTTAAATATAACAAATATTCCTGGAACTTTTTATAATATAACAAATTCTCCTGGAATTTTTATAATATAACAAATATTCCTGGAACTTTTATTATATAAAAAATTGTCCATAACATTTATTCCAAAGAACTTTTAGCATATAACAAAAGTTCCATTGGGAACTTTCCTTATGTAATATTTTATCCTTTGTGAAGGAAATTTTCTTATAGCATTGGATAAAATATTATATAAGGAAAGTTCCCAATGGAAATTTAGTTATATTCTAAAAGTTCTTTGGAACAAATATTTTGGGGGAAGTTATATTCTGTCACAATTAATCTTCAACCTCTGAAAATTTTTAGTCTGCCCTTCCACGAAATATTTAATTAGAATTTTTTTAAATGTTTTTGAACTTTCGAAAATTCCCCCTGACAACCAATCAGACACTAGTTTTAAGTTGACTGAATGCAGAAAAGTATATTCAATGATGCTCAATAGCTAGGAGCTACATTTGTCTCTTAAAATACACATGGCATAAAAGAATGGAAATGGTGCTATGTGGACAAATTTAATGGTTTTCAAGAGCTTAATTGCTAGCTAGTCGTCCCTACAATGGCTTCCATTTTTACAATTGTAAAAATTAGGTGGCGTAATGGGAGATAATTTGATGAAGTAGAATCCTGACTGATATATATTATGAACATTTGAAGAACTTGGGTCTGACAATACACACAAGGTTACAGTCTGTGCCAAACTCTTTCAGTTTCTGTCTGACATTTGGTCAAATCTTATGTTAGCAGCATTGTCAGGGTTCGACATTAACTTTTATACCAACTTGTCCAGTTGGGCAAGTGCCCTATTACTTTTACTTGTCCGAAAGTGAAATCTACATGCCCAAACTTTTACATGCTATTTTTGTGGTTGTAATGTAGTACATGCAGATAAAATATAGTTATCATGTATATGGGGTGTAAATTGATTATGGAGTATGAAAATATACTATTGGATCATTTACATAGAGATACTTATTTCATAATAATTTATCTAAGAAATGCCATTTCAAAAAACCCTTCTTGATAAACTGACAACAACTGACAAATTTGTTAAAGTTTAATTTCATTTTCTCTTTCAAGCTTTTACGTTTTTCCATCTTAGGGAAATACACATCCGATGTCAAATTATAAAGTTAGAACAACGAAAATAGACCTCCGCTTTCCATTGGTCGGTGGGAATAACACGTGCGTCGGAAACGCCCGAGTGGTGTCCCGATGGATAACGATAATGACGAAGCAACGCCGCGGCCGCCTGATTGGCCAATATTTTTAAACGTGATCTATTTTTGGTAAAATGGGGAATTCAGTGCGAACAATTGACGAAATATACGCATTGAAGGGGGGTTAAGACCACTTTACTCGACCGTGCGGTGTTATCACTGAGTAATCTATGGACAAAACAACAGACACTATTGATTTTGTGAAATTTTAATCATATAACACTTTTTTTTTCACTTGCCCGATTGGACAACCAAGATGATGTTTTTACTTGTCCGAATACGGCATTAGCTTGCCCCGGGCAATCGGACAACCGTAAGTGTCGGACCCTGATTGTTCATGTCTGTCAAATCTTATGTTAGCAACTCCAAGATAATCCTTTTTTAAAGTTATTACAATTCCTTTTTTATTGGTGCAGATGTTAAGAAATATTTTATTCCAATTTGCCTTTCATATTTAAGCAAGATATACATCCAAACCTTGAAAATACTGAAGATATCAGGATTGTTTGTGTTGCTAATATAAGAATTTTCTGTCAAAATGTCTGTCAATTTTGTTATGATAGCAACATTTTTTTAAGGTGTCCTTTATTTAAAAAATATAATGTGAATAGATCTATTTTTTGTCAAAAAGTGTTTACTTATATAAGTATAATATGTATTCCAAAACAGAACCTTATTGGTGTTGATTTTGTTAAACATAATTTTGGGAATTTTTCAACTTTCTTATTTGGAATCTGCCTTTCATCAGTCAGGACAGTCGGACCGACAGTGTTTGGCACTAAAAGAGGTTATTCCATTCTGTTTTACAATGATTATCAATGACTGGTTGATTCAATCGTAAATATCTCTCAATATGCCATAGAAATCATTTGAAGGATAAAATTAAACTTTAATATTATTTAGAACTACCCAGTTTAAAATGGGTATGGTTCATAATCTCAGTTACAAAATAAAGGTAATCATGGTAAATAAATCTAAAACCTGCTCAAGTGGAAACTGATGCTCTTTATCTAACTTCCCAGCAATAGGAACTAATTCATTGTCAGCAAAATCTCTACATGTTTTCTGTAACATCTGATGGGTTTCTGGAAGCTCTGCCAGACTGGATAATGATCGAACTGTTCCATCTAGAAAGAAGTAGCACCGAGTAATTAAACTGTATTACAAAAACTGTTTTTTTTTATATGAAAATCATTTTACTGTACATGTTCTGATTTTCTGCAAAACTGCAATTTCTTATGAAACTTAAATTTTGAAAGTATCAAGATTACTTCACTGTTGTAGACCTGCCAACTGTTCTGATTTATAGGGGGATATCCCCAATGAGAGGTGTTCACCTGAATTTTGAAATTCTTTATTATATAAACTAAAGACGTCAAAACAGGCATTCAAATGAGTTAAAAGGGCACTCAAACACATATATACTCATTCAAACAATATAGTAGTAGATTAAGAACACTTATGACAATATAAGAGGTGCATTATGTCCTCTTACGCTTATTAAAACTTTCTGATCAATAAATTTGTCTTTTTGTCGCTAATTTTTTTCTTCTTTTCACTTACTTTATTCTTCTCGTCACTTCTTGTTTCTAATAAAGGAGACCAATAATTTATTGTTATATAGGTTAGGCTACTAGGTAGCACAAATAAACCAATTCTAAGCATACATACTCTACCAGACTTCTAGTTCTAAAGACTCTGTTCAGTAGTTTCACACAACGCCAAATGGATACTGAATTCGGCGGTGTGCAGTGGTGAAAAGACCTACTGCTTTTTAATAGCTTTAGGCTAAGCCTCCGAAATTTTGGAGCGAGCAAATCCAAAGAATTGTGAATCAATCACTCAGGAATTTGATTATGAAGTCGCCTTGCCATATCTTATAAAGGAACAAACTGTGCAATATACTTGCACTTATAATTTGCTTAAGATTTTCACTTACAGTTGTTTGTAAGCTTCGAAACCCTCGCAAGTCTGCGAAGCAGACATCGGCTTGCCATGTCGGTCAGTTATCTGTGTTTATGTAACTTTTTTTTCGGAGAGTTACCTTCAGTCCAAAGTACCCTCGCCACCTTTTTACTCTGATAAATTCACCTGTACAATGTTTTCGTAGTTATCAAAGAATTTTGGAAAGTTGTCTACAAATAAAACATGATGAAAATTATAAAATTCAACTACTAATATATAAAAAAATAATGGACATTTTTAGTTTGGATTAATATATTTATATTCGTCCCACACGGTTGTCGTACCCTTGAATAATATGCATTACATAAAAAACATTAACGCGATATATTTGGTAAACGGCAATACAACAACAAAGAACAAAATATCTAATGATAAAAGAAACAACAAATAATAAATCACTCAATAGCCACATGATATTACGTTATCAAACATAAAAAAAAAAACAAGTACCCCCAAGTATTGTTACTACAGGAACAAATTAAAGATATGTTTATACACCACAAAAAATATCTACAAACAACGCACTAAAATTCAATTTAATTCTATTTGAAAGTGCACATTAAATTTCACTAATTCGAACTTTCAAAGCGTTCAAAACTTTTCATCTAGATTTTCATAGATTCTACAAAGTTTTAAACACAAGTGATACTTTCAATTTGCTTTTTTATTCACGAAAACCTAGAGGTATTAGTTTAAACAATATTTTATTCAAATAAATTGAATTGGGTTGGGCAACAGGCAAAGCCTATGTAAGCCCTCTCCATAAAACAAAGTACAATATGTTACATTCAAACAAAACAACACATACACAAACATAATGACAACACAGAATTATTTTTCGAAACTACCTCATAGCTGACTGGAAGGATGCTTCAAATAGTTAACTCAGGAAAAAAATATTAATATTCTAAGGATGCTACAAATAGTTAACTCAGAAAACATTTATTAATATTCTAAGTAATAAACTCCAATATTGATTAAGATGCCTTACATTGAATTAAACTGCCATAGGCGGATCCAGCGGGGGGGGGGGGGGGGCTGGGGGCCCGAGCCCCCCCTTTTTGTGGGAAAATTTTGGTTGATTATATAGGGAATCACTGAAGCATGACTGGAGCGGCCCCCCCCCCCCCCCCCCCCATGAGGTCAGTCAGTGCCCCCCCCCCCCCCCCCTTATAAAAAGTTCTGGATTCGCCACTGACTGTCTCTAGTCAGCTGTTCAATATTATTATTATAATAACTCATTTTCCCAAAACAGCATGTTTGATATCATGTACTTATTTTTACTAATTGATCGCACTTGAAGAATAACGACAGTGAGTTAATAACCATATTGATACATAAAAGAATCATAAAAATATACAAAAAAAAGAATTTAGAATGTAAATAAAAATCAAAAAAAAAAAACAACATAAAAAACTAAAATTATTCAAAAGATGGTTTGAATGATATAGAAAATAGAGGTGTATTGATTAGTTTTCTTAACCTTTAGTTTTTTTAACCTTTTATAATATCAATTATTGTCATTTACTTTCTAATTTTTGTTTCAATTTTAACTTTTTTTCAGCCGCTTGGGGTCTAAGAACTTGAATATAAAATAAAATACAGACATACTAAGTAACAAGTTTATATAGTATCGCGCCGGACTATAGAATATATTTCACTATACAAATCTTTCTGCATTTTTAATGTATTCATGAACAGCCTCAACTATCTGAATATTGTCTTCAATACTCATAGATTGATCACCAAATAGTAATAACTTCAAATCAATATCAACTTCATAAGCAGACAGTTTATCAAGGAGTATGATCCTGTTTAAAGTGTATGATGGACAATAAAAAAATGTTGATTGTCTTCACATTGATATAAACATTTAGGACAAGAAGGTTCTTCAATAAAAAAATCATGAAACAAGTGAGAATTTAAATTACTTGCTTCGATCATTTCGCAGTTGACAATGAATAATATTGAATTTTCTTACACCAGAACAAACATATTTAGGAAGAATCTCTGGTTTATATATTTTATCAAGTAAAGATTTGAACTGGTTAATCGACAAAGCATTTTTTACATAAGGATCTAATTCATTCCAGAGTTTAACAACAGATGGTATGAAACTTCTATAATATGAAACTGTTCTGCACCTTGGAATGGTATAATTCTGAGGATCTCTTCTAAAATTGTAATCATTTTGTGTAGGAAGACAAAATTCTAATAAATCTAACATATTGCTTGGAGAAAATCCATTTTTTATTTTATAAAATGTAGTCAGGTTATGCTTCTTCCTGCTGTCTGATAATTTTTCAAGACTTAGTTAAGTGTACGATTTTTTAAGAGAGGTTGTACGTCGGAGACCAGTAATAATACGAGCAGCTTCAATTTGAACACTTTCGAATAAGTTCACTTCTTGTAAACTTTACAATTATCCCATACAGCATATTCTAGAATAGGGCCAATAAATGCTGTATAAATTGTAATAAGTACATTTCGATCCAAACTATATTTAACTTGCCTTAATAAATGTAATCTAGAACATGCTTTTTTATAAATTGCACTTATATGAAATTTCCAACTAGCCTTACTCTCAAAGTTGAGACCTAGGTGACAGTGACTTGTAATTTCTTTTATTTGACCCCCACCAATACCAAAATATAAACAAGGAGGATTTATGTCTCTTCGAGAAAATAAAAGGGTTTCTGTTTTGGAGGGATTAAATGTAAAAGCCCAATTTTCAGCCCATGTTTTTATCCTCCCAAGATCATCAGTCAATGACCTAGAAACAGTAATGGAATATAAAGAGGTGTCATCTGCGAATACTCTAATATGATTATTCTTAGTTTCCACAATGTCATTTATATAAGTTACAAAAAAGGAAAGGACCCAGTACCGAGCCTTGGGGTACCCCTGCACTGATACCTTTTTGAGATGAATTAAACCCATCCAAAACAACTTTCTGGCATCTGTCACCTAGGTAGTCTCCAATCCAATCAATTAAATTACTATAAATACCAAACACTTTCAATTTATATAATAAACCATCAATCCAAGAGGTATTGGAAATTAGGTATATCAATAAATGTTTTAAACTGAGAAAACATGCAATATAGTGAAGACATGTTTATGTGTAACCTTTTTTAAGACTATTTGCTTCTTAATATTATATATAATCTGTTTTATTAACTTTTTTTTTTACATATCAGATGGAGTTCCAGGATTTTGAAAAAAGGGGGCTCGCATACGCAGCTTACAAGTCACAATAAGAGTCGATAATTCTCGGTACAGATTGGCTGGTAAAGGGTCGATAAGTTCTTTCATTTAATTATGTGCACTTTTATCTCTACACTAGGTCAAATTTCGGTAATAACTTTGTCAAATAAAATTATAAAAATTCAGTTTAGGCTTCATCTTTTTTTGGTTATCAAATTATAAATGTTACCAACAAAATTTTTTTTTAAAAAATCGATGTATTTTACAATTGATATATAATTTATATAAAAAAAATAACTAAGTTAAAACATTAAGGAGCTGAAAATATGTAAATATTTTTTTTTTCATTATTATTGTTCTGATATTTTATCCAGTGTTGTGATAAAATTTGGTATTTGGAAGAGTTTCCCGGAAGCAAAAAATGTCGTATATTACCTTAAAACTCTGTAAATAACTTTGTACACGGGATGATTATAACAAGTATTGGTAATTTGGTTTGGCATACGTTTCCTGTGTACTACTTGAATAATTGTGTATTGTAGACTTTATCTACCTGTCTGTAACTTGGCAGGCTTACCTGTTGTTTTACCTTTCTCAGAGACATATATACACATGTAGGTATACGTAAAATCACAAAAATACTGAACTCCGAGGAAAATTCAATCGGAAAGTCCCTAATCACATGGCAAAATCAAATGACAAAACACATCAAACGAATGGACAACAACTGTCATATTCCTGACTTGGTACAGGCATTTTCAAATGTAGAAAATGGTGGATTGAACCTGGTTTTATAGCGTTAAACCTCTCACTTGTACGACAGTCGCATCAAATTTAATAATATTGATAATGATGCGTGAACAAAACAAACAGACACAATAGGTAAAAATGTCACAAATAAAGGTAAGAAGTCTGTACCTTTCTATAGCAGATGTTATAATATTTATGGACTGTAACAAAAGTAGTCTGTACCTTTCTATAGCAGATGTTATAATATTTATGGACTGTAACAAAAGTTTGTTAGTTTTACAATACAGCCAACGATCAGAGGAGGAGAAAAAGAGCAATATCTACAGTTGATCTGGAACGTAATTTCATCTCAATTTAAACTGTAAGGGTCAAAATTTTAAGAAAGTTTTTTGTTCGAAAACAAAAGAAAGAGTTGCAAAAAGTTAGAAAACAGGTCGGATAAAGGAAACATTAAAGTTCATTGAAAGGCCCATGCAATTTCTATTCCGAAGTTACGTACTTCCGGTATGACATTTGTCCTGAACAATTATAGGTTTGTTCTATGTTCGTTTGGAATTTCAATCAAAGATGGTGAAATGGATCTTCCTTCACTGTATTCTATATCTAAAGTAACCTTACAAACAAAGTTATATCTAGATCTTTCCAGTGCTCAACAAAGCTTCTTTCTAAATTGTTCACGTCAATTATACCAGCAATCTAAGACGGGCTTCAAAGTTATGGTGAAACTACTTACTCTAAAAATCAAGCATCTTGACGATGTCGGTTTCATAGAATTTTTTGTTCGAATCAGAGTGGTTTTTACAAATTCTGATTTGTCACTTCATAAAGACATATACTAGTATTTAATTTCTTTATAGATACAAATATTTGGACTGAGTCTAATTGTATCTTTAGACACGTTATTACAAACGGGATATCAAATCCAAATTTTCATTTTCCCAGGTCAGTGTAGGTTTGAGCTCTCACTCACATGTTGGGCATCCGTCACATTCTACATGTGTCTGTCCCAAGTCAGGAGCCTATAATGTAGTGGTTATTGTTGGTTGATGACCGTCATATTGATTTCATTTACTGTTTTGTCATAATTCAGGCCGTGGAGTATCGTTTGAATTGTTCCACATTTTGTCATGTTAGGGCCTTTTATAACTGACTATTCGGTATGGGTTTTACTAATTGTTGAAGGCCGTATGGTGACGCCATGTTTCTAAAATCGTATTCACTTGACCCTATTTGAATATTGCCTCATTGGCAATCATACCACATCTCCTTATACTTGTAAATTTAAATACGACCCATGTCACTTATTTATACTTATTCTTAAAGGTCACCATTGAAACATTGATAAGGTCATAATATATTGTCGTAGGCTTTTTCGGCAAAATAATTGATTTTATTTTCAACGGTTTAATAGACAATGGAATATTAAATTGGTGCTTTTTTGTTAGTTGGTTATTAATGTTATTTTGTTTTCGGTTTATGTCTTAGTACCGACCTGATGAGTCATGCTCTATTTTATTTTTTGTTACATTTGTACTGATTAGATACTATTGAACCACTGTCCTAGATTAAGAGATGTTGAAAGCTAACACGCACGATCAACCCTTTCAGATTCATTCTGTGCATGTCACAAGACCCAGTTATTGTCGCTGGTTGTTGTCTCTCATAATTATTATATTTTTTTTCTAACAAATAGATCCATTTGTTTTCTTAGTCTAATTGATTCACACTCATCTACCAGAACATCAATAACGCTATGGGTGTTGTTCATTGTTGAAGGTCAATATGGTGACCTGCAGTTGTTTACATCTTTATAATTTGGTGTATGTTAGATAGCTGTTTCACTGATAATCATATCACATCTCCATATTTTTATATTAATACATCCACAAGACATAAGACTGTGATATAACAGTATACATATATATTATTTAGATGTCTCATTTACTTGCTGTCTCTATTAAATTCAACATATGGAAAAGCATTGCAATATTGCAAACATAGCATCATTTGGATATATTGTAATGCACATTTTGATTTAAGCAATACTGTTTCCTACAAGATCTCTTAATTAACCATATTGATGTTATATTAATATCTGCATTCGACCAAACACAATGAGTAGAACGTGAATTGTTTGTAAAAAAGTATGTAATAATTTTTAGTGATAAAGGTACACTTGTATTTTCGTCAAAGGTTTTCCCTAAAAACATGTTTAATAAAAAGAATCTTGCGATATATAAGAATAGGTTTTCTGCACAAGATGTTTAGAACGAAATCGCCCACGTCTGTTCTTAAGCTCATAATTGATGAATATGCCTGCTGGCTGTTGATTCATCCAGATGACATTTTAGCTTCGATGTCATTTTGGAAGTTTGAGAAATCGATACATTTGCCAAGTCGGGAAAATGCTTTTACAAATTCATCAGATATATTTTTCGTTTCAAGTAAGTCGTAATTGATAATTACTATATTCTTACGCCAGTCACAACGATAGTTCAGCCAAGAGTATTTCAGCTCGCACTCTAACCAACGTTTAGCTATATCATCATATACCTCACTCAAAATAATTAGTATGTTCCTGCTTTTTGTCATCATTTCTCTTATTTCATCCTCCCGTGGAGTACCGGGTTGACAGTCACGATACGGAAGAAAAACACTAAGTCTCTTTCCTTTAAGATAGGGTAGCAGCGTATGTTTAATCCATTTGCGTAGATTTTCATCTTGTTCGTTGCATGATATATATACTCCATAATCAAATGACGGTGAAATCGATGATTGTCTCAATCGTTGAAAATGTGTCCTAAGCAGTATGTACATGTCTATACGAAAATTGTAGATAATAAAAGTCGAAATTATTATACAACACAAACAAATTCCCAGGATAATGGTGATCCATCTGATGACGACAACGCCAGTGTCACATCCTAATATATCTTTATCGATATCAAGAATAGATCGTGAGCCAGAAGACGTCTGGCACATTATGCGCGTATTATTATAACAATCTCCAATCGACGGCAGCCAATTTTGTAGCCAAATATCACTACACGCACATTTCATTTTAATGGTTCCAAATAAAACATTGCATGGGCGAAGTTTTTTAAGTGACACCGGAATTTTTGTAATAAGATTGTTTGTAAAAGTTATTCTTGTAACATTTTGTAAAGCAACGAAAATATTATCAGGAACAATATTTATCTCATTTGATGCAAAACTAATTTCTTTTGTTTTCAATAAATACGGTCTTTCAACAGACAGCAGGCGTTGGAACTGCACCAGTAAATCAGATATACGATTTAAAGAAAAGTCAAGAACTAAATTGTCATAATCTGGTAAAGTCAAAGGCAGTTTGCGTGAAACCAATGACGACCGACAGTTTATAACCGTTCTGTTTTTGCTTGGTTGATAAAAACAACGACAATGCGGAGGGCATTTTTCTGCTAATGAAATGTTGCATATCAACAGGTCTTTCTCCCTTACAAATTCACCAACTGCTTTGTTTTTATATTCAGGGGGTGAATCACACTTAATACCATGATGTGGCGATCCTAAAATTTGAAGAGAAATATCCGCTTTATTAGCAACTGGAAAAAATCGACAATCACAAAACCAATTATTAAAACGAAAATCAAAGCTATAATAATACAATTTTCCTAACAATGTTATATCATAGAATCCCAGTTCAGCGACATTTAAGAAATATGTAAAATTATTGTTTGTGAAATCGACATACCCGCCGCGTCCCAAATCTCTGTCTTTATCGCAAACCCAACCCATTACGTTTGTCAACTTATAGATCACATTATAGGAGAAATTTGCAATACAAAAATAGTCGTGCTTTTCCCTAACAGTATTGGTAATGTCAATATTAGCCAAGAGATTGTTCGAGACATCAAAATGTAATATACTTCCGTCCATATTTAGAAAAAGTTCTGGCTCGATATATCTCAACGCGTTGTACGATAAATCGACCACTCTAAGATAATGCATTCCACTGAATATATCGTTTTTCAAATGTGTCACTCTGTTTGCTTTGAGAATCAGTGTATCTAATGCCATAATACAAGAAATTGTGTCCAGATTCGAGATGTAGTTGTAGGAAAAATCGACAAATACAAGTTTACTTATATTGCATAAATCCTTTGGTATTGTTGTAATGTTACGATATTGGTAAGTGACACTATATAAATCAATATCACTTCCGTTATAATTACTAATGATTGGAATATCATCCATTAAAAACGAAATTTTAAGCTGTCTAACATTTGTGGTTAAACATCCAGATTGGCTGTGCAAGACACACGCAACACTCCATGTCCTCCTCGAAATAGGGATGCTCAGCAGTATAAAGACATTCGTCTGGACAAACTTAATCGTTTCTCTGTAAAAGTAACGCTAGTTTTGCATTTAAAGTTTGACATTCTGCCGTGTGTAGAAACAATTCTATAATTGGTGAACCTAGTAAAAACAAAATAATCATTATTGGCCTGAATTGAGTATTAGCCACTTTTTTATAAACCGATATCCTGCTAATAAGCCGAATTGTACACTTGTGAAAAAAACTCCAAAATTAATATGGATAAAACGACCATTATGTAGCCTATATTCCAAAAAATCACGTGCGCTATAGATTCGACAGACCAATCAGTGATGAGAAAAAGAGATATTGATAAACTTAGAGTGCATTCTGTGTGCAAATAATAGAATGAACAATGAAACGCTTCTTCAGATTACGTTAACTTTGAAACCCTTTGTCAACTTTATAAAATCATATCGTTATTATGAATAGTATATAACATCTTAACAGTTGAATACATGATTGAACAGAGTGCATCAATAACGTTTAATTCAGTACAATATTTACTCCTGTTTCAAATTGCATTGTGTGAACTTTTTCAAAGGGTAATTATATAAACTTGAATTGGGTTTTGTGTTGATTAAATCATATTAATTGGAATTTGTAAATTTGGATGTCATCCAACACTGTTCTGAATATGAACAAGACATTGAAAACTAACTTTGGCAATTTCTTAAAATATCGTACAACAAATCCATTTCATACATATATGTATCAGATTTTAGAACGCGAGTTCATATTATTCCAATACTCACCCAGTCGCATTGTTCGCAATAATGAAAACCTCGCAATAATTTCAGAATTTAAGTTTCCTTATACACATTTAAGTTTGTTTATAGCGATCAACATATGCCCCAAGTCAGGAGCCTCTGGCCTTTGTTAGTCTTGTATGTTTTTTAATATTAGTTCATTTATATGTTTTGGAGTTTAGTGTGACGTCCATTTTCACTGAACTAGTACACACTTTTATTAAGGGGACAGCTGAGGACCACTTCCGGGTGCGGGATTTTCTCGCTGCATTAAAGACCCATTGGTGGCCTTCGGCTGTTTTCTGCTCTTTGGTCGGGTTGTTGTCTCTTTGACATATTCCCCATTTCCATTCTCAATTTTACTTTGTAAATAAAATAAACACTCTATACATTTCGTGCGTCTGTAGTGCAATTATAAAGTTATCTTCACCAGGAACGCTCAAACATAAACATTTGAAAGTCAGGGATGCGTAAATACTAGGACTATATGACCAAGTGACCTCAACAGAATAGCCAATATCATATAAGGTCAGCTTTGTCTGAGGGATTTGGAACCTTATTTTCTTGATAATTTCCTAATTTATAAACGGTGAATTTGAAATAAGTATATATTTTATAAATCATATAAGTACCGAAGCACAGACAACTGAGCTGATGACTTCCTCGGGGACTAACAGTCCAAAAGCAGTGGTATAGACCTAGTGCTAGTAAATGAAATAAACAATTTAAAAATAAATGCTAACTATTTTTTGTCTTTTTCATTTGGCAAGCATCTCACGTATAGAGTTTTTATAGAACCTTTAGTTCACCAAGTACATCTTACATACGCAAAGGTTCGTGGGCTGCTTTATTCGTGTACATTATTCGAACACCTTAGAAGGTAGTTTTATTTTGTCTTTGTCTTCTTTTTAGAGTTAATTTGTGGTTTCCTAAAGTTAACTTTTGTGTCAAATATATAATTATCATTGCATGATATGGTCATAATTAAGATTAATTGTTTACAAAACTTTAAATTTTTCGAGATACTAAGGTTTTTCTACCCTATGAAAAAATAACTTTTGCTGTATTTGGCAAAATCGTTCGGAATTTTTGGTCCTCATTGCTCCTCAACCTCGTACTTTATATAGCCTTTTTTATTTTTCATTCGAGCGTCACTGACGAGTCTCTTTAGACGGAACGCGCGTCTGGGATATAACATTTTAATCCTGGTATCTATGATGAGTTTATATAGATATATTTCCATAACACAAACCTATTATGCTGCGATTTTTAAATATAATATTGATAAGGCCTGAAAACAAAACAAAGAATGATAGGATTTAACTAGAAATAAAAAAAGCAAGGAAGATGGTTTATAACGTTTGTTAGAAGCTTATTTGTCACTGTAAATACAAAACAAAATAAACATTTATGATATGCATTTGATTTTATCGGCAATTCCCAAATCGTACCTTCACCTTTTCTAGACTCGGGGCGAATTAAAGCTTGATTTATTGTATAGACACTCGAATAAGATTGAATAGAATGCGTATACTACTAGATGCCCTTTGGACTTTTTGTAATTGGGTTGTTGTCTCAATGACGTATACTAGTATCTTACATATCCTTTTGTTCACATATTATTTGGTAGAAGAAACGCGCGTCTGGCGTATACAGTTATAAGCCTGCTATCTTTAATGAGTTTTTAAAATAAACTATTTAAAGATTTCATTCAAAGTTATATAGCATACATCTACACTAAATACAACCCTAACTATATCAATAAAAAGAGTTCAGAAAAAAAGAACTTAAATTATTTTTGATACCTTATTACAGCTAAGAAAACAGCAACATTTAAACAATTTTATATTATGCCAGTTGAAAGAATAATACTACCTGCAGTTACTGAAAAACAACTTCATCTCTTGATTATGAATCCAAGCCAATCTACATTCTTACATCGTCTGCAGTGATCATGAGTCTATTAAATACACGAAAGTAATCTACAGGACAGGAAGATACACCATCAAACCAGGAAAATGAAAGGATATCATGTTTACTTGAAGTGGTGCGGACTAGTAAAAAAAGAAAACAGAAGTTAGAAAAAAGTAGTTTCAACTCCCTCAGGAAAAGTTGACCTTATATGAATGTGGCTATTATATAAGGTCCTTTTTGGTCAAAAAGCTCTTTAGTTGTTTCGGTTCTTATCACGCCTTGGCTTTCAAGCATTCGACTTTGAGCGTTCCTGATGAAGGTAAATCCAGAAAAGTGCTTCGGACGCATGCAATTTATAAAGTTTTGTTTTCCTTTTTGAAGGGAAAAAGTAGTATTTCACTTTCCTTGCATTAGGTTGACTTTTTGTGTACACAGGGCATGTGAAGGCTCGGTGGTCTCGTGGTAGCGTCTTCGCCTCGAGTGCGGGAGGTCGTGGGTGCGAACCCCGGCCGGGTCAAACCAAAGACTTTAAAATTGGTATTTGCTGCTTCTCCGCTAAGAACGCGGCATTAAGGAGTAAGAGCAAAGACTGGTCGGCTCGGAGTTAGAATAATATGTCCGGGTAAGGTGAGATGTCTGCCTGCGGACTGTTACCTTGTGAACTAGCACGTTAAAAATCCGGCTCAGCGTGTCGGTCTAGTACAAAGCAGGGTTAATATTCATATAACATTAACGTTCTCGATATGAATATTAATTTGCCGCTGGACGTTAAACAGCCATTCATCATCATCATCATCATCATCATCATCATCATCATCATCATCATCATCATGTGAAGGAAGTCAACTTGGAGCACTGTGATTGGATGAATTAATATTTTTCTATGAATAACTGCAGCGTGTCGTTTATAATATACAATTTGAAACACATGGAAATAGTTTCTTAAGAATTATTCGAAAAGGCTTCCAAATTCATATGAAATTTTTGTAAAATGATGGTGGCCATGGATTCTATAAACAAACTATCTTGGAAAATGCTTTTGTCACCATTTGACTTCAATTTCTAAAACACAATAATAAAGTACTTATATCCCTTATGACTGTTTTGTCCCGGTTTTTTATTATAAAAAGTGTCAAATTCAGAAATATTAGTATTGTCGTTTATGGAGGAAGAATTCTGCCGTTTTCCCTTAAACACAATAATAAATGGAGAACAGAAGAGAAAGTCTATTAATTGGCAGTGAGATATATAATTTACAGCTCCGTGTATTTTATTTCTTTTATACCTTACCTTTGATCCCCCAAATTAAGTCAGGTATATTCCGTTATGATAAGACATACATGTATATACTTTACAATTTTTATGCTTATTCATATAATATATATAAATAGTAGAAGCGGGATATTAGTTCTTTAAATATACCAGGCATATAATTTAGAACGCCAGTCGTATGTTTCGTCTACATGAGTGCCTCTCGAATAACAAAACAATTTAAAAATATCTTTTATTTGTTTTCAGAAGTCAGGATAATACAATACTCCGACAGTCACCTCCAGAATTTTTCAAATTCATATGAATTAAACAAGAATATATTTGAAAAAAAGCTACTACTCACGCTGTCACTCACTTTTAACACACAGTCAAGATAAATACAAATATCAACTGCTCGCTACATATCTCACATCTCACATAATGGTAATTAGAAAGATAAATAATAATAACTCATGGAAGTATTTTTATGTAATAGGAACCAGAATCTTCCATAAACATTTGCCTCAATTATTTTGTTTGCAATATAAGATTCACTAGATTGGTATTGTTTTATTCTAGAGTCTAGTCCAATTACAATAGTAGCTATATGGCATGACTTACATCTGACGATGTAGCTTTTAGATATAATAATCACAAATTTACCAATACTCTTAGTCATAAATCCTAACAAAATTTCTTTGTTACTGATGCTAACAAGACAACTGAAAATGTAGGTAACTTTACAATCATAGAACAAATGTTCTATCCTTATCGTTACAGAAGGTATATATGTTTCCTTTTGCAGATGTAAAAAAAAATTATTTACTGGTAAAATTTCCGTTTAATACTTTATACTGAAATTGTTTTTAGATATGTATCTTTACGCCATCTTTTCAAATTATTAAATACTTAGAAATACTTAGAAAATTCTAGGATTTCAGAATTTGTCATTTTCTCCAATTGAAAACAAAATATAATTTGGGAGTATGCATTTTTATCTACAAGATCTCTGTACACAAATTTCAAGTTCTTATTTTCGATGATCTCGTCAGAAAAGATCAAAAGAAATAAAATTTAGAATATTCTTTAAAGTATTTCTTAAAATATTTTGGAATGTTCGAAAATAGACTGTTAGGCCAGTTTGTGTACTAAGATTTTAGTAAGACGCACACCACCTATTCTTGGCCCTCATTCCTATCCACGTTAAATTTTTTCACTCCAACCCATTTTATGGGGTCGAAATCAATATACCGTTATTTATACATCAGACCGTACTGGTTACCTGAATTTTGGATTCACCAAAACAGGTACT